CATTCTTTTGACATTTTCAACATTTTTTGTGGCTAGAAATGTCAATCTTTGCCTATTTTTAATATATTTTTAATTTATTCATTTAAAATCAAAATTACTGATTTTTTACTCATCTATTTTAACTAATCACATTTATTTAAATATTCTTTCAACTTTGAAAATAAAATACTGACTGCAAAGCATTTCAAAAACATTGATCTTACCAGTAGAAAATTTCATGCTTCTAAGATATTTATGGATGTATGGGTGATGGAATGGCTAGCAACTTAGGACAAGAAATTGGAGATCTGTGTTTGAACGCTTGTGTACCCTTGGGCAAAATACAAATCTATCTCTTCTCCATCTGGCTAATGTAGAGTGGGCTCTTCAGCCTTGGTTGGCAAGCAGGTTAGGAAAAGGATGACTGAATTCAAAACTCTGGCATACTACACAGCTAACAAAAAGATTGTGGAGTTCACAGTGACTCTATGATCTTGACTGCAGTTGATTTGATAAATATCCAGTATCAGTCACTACATAATATAAAAACAAAATTATTTTGATGTATTACAGCAGTTTTGAATCACTATACATACAAGAGTATAAAGATTAAATGAAAATTTTGTTTTTTGTTTCTAATAAAACCTTTCATATAAATGTTATGAAAATTTAACAAAACTGTTTCCTATTGACAAAGATGGACAGAATATTATATAACATATAATTATAACCCAAGTTTGTTTATATTTTTGTCCGTTCCCTCTACATAGATATGATTTCATAAATAAAACATTATTTAATCTGAAGTTGTCCTTCTGAAGGACAAAATGCCTTGTATAAGATTTTTCCTATTTTGTCATTCAACTTTTTTGAAAGTTAGAATTAAGTTAAAAAAATATATGTAGAAATAGATATACATAGTTTTCTTTGGATAAAAGAAAACTGTACACATATCTATTTCGGCATGTTTACTTTTTTTACTTAATTCAAACTTTCAAAAAAATAGTATTTTTGATTACCTAAATCAGGTGACACTGTGTGTGAGAAAATCTCACATGACAAGAAACCAGTCAACATTGTTCAGTTTTGAAACATGAGGCAACAGATCACCAAGCCTTATGTTTTATTTCTTATTTTGGAATGGTAACATTCAATATCAAATTTCCATCATAAAAAGAAAACTTCAGATTTTTGACTGAAACAAACCACCTTTAACTTGTAATCAGTCTCATATTCATAAGTGTAATTTTAGCAAAATCAGCACACTAGCTAAAACATATGAACAAACAAAGACATGAGAATTGTTATCTATGTTCCATCTTCTCTATAATGATTGTCTTATAAGACATTAAATATTTTGAAATTCAGTATGTTAATGATTAGTATTAAGATGTGTGTAATTTTTTAAGTTAATACACAGTAAAAGAAAAAACCCCACATAGCTGAAGATAGAAAAGCTTATAAAATTTTTCAGAAATATGGCATAGAGAATATTGGAACAGTGGTTTGCCAGCTGTGAGTGCTTAATGGTTAGAAACAGATTGTTGATCAGACTGGTCATTCAGCTAGAAGATGAGAGGCTCAAGCAGAGAACCATTGTAAGCTGGATCAATGTTTTGTTCAGAATGAGAAAGGAAATGAAGCAGGATATTTTTGATTGTTGAAGAAACATTAATATATTTGAGCTGAATAAAGAAAAGTTTTAAATGCTACATTATTGGATATATAAATACATTTATTGGGAATCTAATATAAATGCCGATTATAGCTCTGTTGTACTTTTACATTTTGAGAAGTGACTGGATTCTGTGTGGTTCAATTTAAAATATACAGTAGTAGTTGCTAGGAGATGGCATATGTTGTCTGTTAGAATTCATTCATTTTTGCTATATCTTTTATATATCTTCCATATTTCTGGGGTGAAATGGTGGAGTAATGTATAGTGGTTTTGACTGAGGAATCGGATAGTTGAGTTTGAATTCCAGTCAAGTTTGTTACATTTACTTACATACAAGTACCCTCAGGAAAGGCATGAATTTATTTCTTCTCCTCCCTACCACCCCCAGCAAAGGGTAAATAGCAGGACAATGCTGAATTCAAAACTTCCAACTATAGGTTAAATAACATCACCAACCCACAATTGGCCAAGTGTGGTGAGTACAGCTACATTCCTGAAGACATGGTCAGTCAGGGGTGGGAGTTCCTCCAAGGAATGAAAAGGCCTTGAATCTGAATCTGTTTTAAAGAGCTTTCATCCCTTCTACCTTATATATATATATATATATATATATATATATGATAGGTAAAACAAGGTTAATATGAAAGCACAGTGATTTCCAGTGTTTCTTTAGATAATAATCTACTAAATATTTTATTTTTAAAAGCAGACTTATAAGGTGAAGAATTTATTTTGATAAAAACAGTTTTTTTTTCAAATATTTTGGCCAGTCATTTTCTCATCTTCATTAAGTGAATTTTATGACATTCAGCCTCTTACTGTTATTCTTGTTCAGACATTAGGCTATGAGCTACTGAGTTATTTCTCAATCTAGGTAACCTTCAGAGAATTTTGAACTGAACTATTTATTTAATCTGCAAGAATATATTATTCTTGTTTCACTGTAACATGTAACTGAGAGTTCAACCCCTGAGCCAGGTAGTCTAGATTCAGTAGAAACAATAACTGAGCAACACTAAAAAAAGAACAAGACATCCGTTGACAGGGACAGTAGAATGAGAACAATCAACCCCCATAGATTAAATCAAGAGCCCAGATCAAAATAGCCTGAAGGTTACCCAGATCAACAAACAGCTGATGGAGGACAGAGTACTACACCTGAAACTTGATAACAACAAAGATGAAAACATTTGTCTGAATGTAAATAATGACCATATTATTTTATGTTGCTTTTGTCAAATATCCTATATCAGTAAAAAATGGATACCTGAAGATGATCAAAGGGTACTTGGCTGAAACATTGTAGCTATAACAACATCTATAACAAACAGAGATGAAAACAGTAATTTCAATAAATCAAAATATAATAATGGTTTCTTTTAAAATCTTATTTAATTTAATATTTCAGGAAAATGTTTGCTGTTTAATTCCTTGCATTTTAAGATTGTAATAAATTACAATTATGACCTGCTATGCCATGTACACCAGGTTTAATTATCCTCATCCCCTTCATATTCCATTGGTAAGAAGGAAGTTCCTCTCAGCTTCTTACTGAGAACTGCTATTTTGCAGAATAGATTCCCAAGAGAATTCTTCCTCAATTACTACAATCTTAACTTCTTTAAGTTCAGGTTTAACTGTTATCTATCCTACATATCCTCATAATCAGTTTTTACTTCATCCTTTTATATCTATACCACAACTTCATTCAGTAAGCCAATATTTTGAGGGGCTCTTGGTCCTTGTGTTAGGTGAACATTTAATAAAAAAGAATTATCATGAAGAAAATGGAAAGGCACTTTAATGGATCTTGATAAAATTCACTAAATAGGTTCTGGGTGGGATCGAATTCACAAGTATATGTGGCTTAACTCTTTTGGTGCAAAAAATAAATGATTTTTTTCAATCAATCAGTATTCACCACAGCAAACTGGCTCTGGGGTCCTATCAACTTAAAAAAAAAACAAGTTGTCAGTTATCAGTTGGTCCTTTACAGACAGCTAATTATAACACAAAGGACAGTTACTTTCATTTAGCTATCCAGGTTTGATAGCATTTTCTTCATGTTCTGATCTACATTGTAATCTCTATTTGAATTTTTTCCTGATCACCAGTTGAAATGTTATCATAACAGTTCTGCTTGAGATAGACTGTGAATACTTCTTATAATATAGTATATAGGATGTGTAGGTGTGGTAATAGATATTGGCAAAGTTAGTATTGACAAGCTGAGTCCAAATTCTAGGCTCGTCTGTTGAATCACTTACAAAATGTACAAATGTCCTTAAGGAAAGTATGAATCAAGCTCTTCTTCCTTTACATATGGGTTAAATAGTTGGGCAGCCTCCAGGCTCTAGTCTTGGGTGGTAACCAGTCTAAGAAAGGAAAACTCTGAAATCCAAATTGCGGAAAAGACCATGGGGAACCACTCCACTGTCCTTCCAAAGAATACATGGTAATTCACAGATAATAAAAGAAGGAATGTTAACCTTTTTCTGGATTTCTAATGAAAACAGTTTCCATTTGTGAATTATTGACTAGAATTATTTTGATGTTTACTCATTTGGTTTGAAATGTTACTTTGTTATAAGCATTATACTGAATTAGAATATAACTTAGTAGTTAAAGAAAAATGCTAAGGAAATTAATTGAACTGGTGAAGTTACTTACTGTCATTTAAATTAACAATAAAATCACAATTCTTTTACCTGAGTTTCAGGAATTAACTTTAACTTTTCGTGCATTCATTAACTGAAGAAACATAAATATTAATAGTAAAAAAAATCATAAATATTCTCTTGCAATTCAGTACTGTAAAATATTTAGGACAATGAGATAAAAAAAAAGAGTAGGCTAAGGAAATTATTTTGTTTTCTATGATTTCTAAAAATGTAATTTCTTCTTTCGTAAAAAGGAAAAAAAAAAGAATGCATAACTAATGTCAATAAAACATAGCTTGTACTATCTTAAGGTAACAATTTTCGAAATTAATATATTTCAGAGAAATTATTTACTTAAAGAATACGAAGTTCAAATTAAATAGAAACTTCCAAAGATCGTGCAATGTTTCTTATGTTGGCGAATCATCAAGTGAAGGAAGGTAGGTAGGTTGATCAGGGCAATATAGACTCTGGCCGACAGCCAGTATTTGTTTCATAACTGATTTGTATGCAAGGTGATCACATGACTTGCTTTTCTAAAAATAAAGCCGACGTAGGAATACGTTTTTGCAATCAGTACTAAGGTTCCTCAAGTAAAGCAGATTTAACTGCGATTCATTTATTATTGTGTTGAAGTACCCCGACTACTTCACGGCGGAAAGAATCATAGCTCAATTATAGCCATGGCTTGTGTACATATTATTCCCATTGTATTGATGCTAGCGTCAACCCAGTCATTGGCAGGTAAAGTATCAATTTATGATGATCATTTACGATAAACGTTTGTAACAAAAGAAGTAGATTTACTTTATTGAAATGCCAGTTTTTTTTTTTTGTTTTTTTTTTTTTTAAGATTCAGAATCCAGTATTCTTTTCTATTCTCTTTTCATCAGTTAAAAATCGTATAAAAATAACGTAAGCAGTACAGGAATACGATTAAAAAAATTACATAAACGCTTTTTAAAAAAGACTTTAAAATGGCCTCTCTTCAGTTTTCTTTTAAACAACCACTTGACTTTTTTTTTAATAAATTAGATTTTCATTTGTACACAGTTGCGAAACGTTACTGCGTGTTTTTCCTCTCTCTCTCTCTCTTCTTTTTTTTTTCTTCGACAAAATTTCGTAACTTACTCGGACACTTATAATTTGGAATGATCTAACTAACATTTTCTTTCAGGGGAAGGAAAAAAAAGTAAGAAGCAAACAAACAGCTGATCTCTTTTGTGCTCTGATGCTTTATTTTCTTTAATAAATTAAACTATTTAGTTGCCAGTAAAATATTAGTGATCATTGTGATATAGATCATCATAATTTTCAAGGAAAAGAAAATTAACTAAATTTTTTTTTTTCTTGTTTGTTTAAAAATATTCTTTAAAGATGTCAAATGTGTGATTATTCCAGCTTTGACAACGAAAATCTTTTTTTTTTTTTTTTTTTTTATAATATCGTAGTAATGTTAAATTTATTTTTGGTGTGACCGTGGGAGGGGAATGAAAATGAATTTCATTTGTTGCAATTTATAATTAAGTTCTGTTATGAATAATAATTTTTTTTTTTTTTTTTTTTTTTCTATTCCATCAACATTTTTATTCTGAATTGCCTGATTTTTCCAATACTGCATCTCAGACGCTTTTATAAAAAAATTGTTCTTCTGAATGTTGAAATTATTGCATTTATACCTGACTTTTTTGTAAGTTTTATTTTCGCCTTATTCCCTTATCCAACTTGTTTATTTTAGCATATTTGTGGGTGTGTAAGACATTTTGTGTGGCCTAACGATGATTACTAAGTGGGGGTTCACTTTACGAATCATAGTTATTATATTTCTTACTTATTTTTCTTTGTCTTCAAATATTATCCTTATAACTTTGATCAGAATGAACGCTATTTTTTTCTCCTGGCATTAATTCTCTAACAGGTTTATGTTCACTTGTAAGCAAGTTGAATAAATACAAAAAAATACTTTGATATTCTCCATTTTATGAACATTATACAAGGTTAAACCAAGGGGACTCTACTTCAATCGCACTAACAAACCTCTTAGATCATAAATAATAAAAATAACTATTTACAAATTAAATTCGGTATTAGAACATTGGTGCTCGCTTGACTTGTGTAGCATGTAATTTTGAATATATTAAACTAATTTTCTTTGATTAGTTAAAGTTGAATTTGTTTAAATTCAATCTGATGATACAATCTGAGGGTAATTTTTTTTTCCTCTTAATTTTTTTTATACTTACGTAATTAACTTACTTCTCTCTGTCACTAATTAAATTTGCGTGTACAAGTCGGAAACTTTCTCTAAAATTGAAAGTTTATATTTTTTTATATTTGCTAGTCGTTTCTCTATTCCCTCTCAAAACAGTCGTAGTAACTAAAACCTGTTTTTTACCTTATTTTACATATAGTCTGTTTCGTATTTCAAAGATGAAATTTTTCCTGGTCATTTCAACATATCATCACATGACTTATGCTTTGCGGAAATAGTCGTGACATTTTTGCTGCTTCATCTTGATTGAAAACTGAAATTTTTTTCATTGTGAAAATCAGTGTTTTTATTTTATCTATTATTTTTTTTTTTTATTAGTGGTCCAAGATATTTTATACTACGATAGTTGATTTGAATAATCCTCTGTCTATAAATAAATCTTCCTTCACTCTTCCAGCCACAATAAATTTTTGCTTTTGCAGCTTTATTTCTCCTCTCTTCAACTTCAATTTTTGAAAGTATCTTAGTAAAACTGACTAAATGTGGGTTTGTTGCTTTCGCTCGAAACATTGTTGTTGGAAGTTTTAAAGTCAAAATGTTTATTTAAGACTAGCTCACTAGAAAGACCAAATGTCGATCAGGCTGTAGCCGAGACACAAAAATTGAAGATGGTATGTTTCTGCATTTTTAATGCTGTTTTAGTGTTGGAATATTCAGGCTTTTTTACACCAGAAATGCTGTTTTTTTTTTTTTTTTTTTTTTGTTTGTTTTTACTTTTCTGGGTCCTAATCTGTGATTTTTACCAGCTTATTATTTTTAAATGAAAAAAAAATCACTTGGAACTTCAGAAAACAATGTGAAATTCAGTTTTGAATTTTATTAATGTTCTAGTCAGTGACAATTTTTTTTTTTTTTTTTTCTTGGAAAATCTTTATCCGTTAAAAATGGACTTAGTTTTCTTTTAAAGTTTAAGACTAATTCCTAGTAGAAAATCTTAGATCCCAAAAACAAAATTAAAAAATCAATGGAATAGGATATAACTGGGTTTAAGTACCTCCACTATTTCGGCATAAATTTTCTATATTGAAGTTTAAAATGAATTTTTTACAATGAAAAAACATTCTTGAAGATTTCATTTTAGCTTTAATTGAAAGTTTAATAACTAAATTTACGATTTCTATAATTCTGGTCTATTTCAGATAGAAATTATATACATTTGATTGTCAAATTTAATTTCAAATTTTTAAATTTTCTTAAAAACGGCCATTTTCTTAATTTTAAGAAATTTGTAAACAAATTTATCTTATTTTAAAATATTTAAAAAAAATTCTGACACGTTATTTTAGTAAAATTAAAAAATTTAAAGTAATCTGATTTCAAAGAAATCTTTTGTTACTTATAGCATAAAAAAATAATATACAACCAATTATTAACGAGCGGTCCCGTTCATCTGTTCGATCTTATTGATAATGGTTGATTGACGAGCCGATGACAGCTACTACTGATGACCATAAATGACATAATTTTTAAGTCTGAGTTTTTAAAAAAAATTATTCTATTTGAGTATGACACACACAATACAATACATAAAATAAAATTATTTAGTGAAATAGTAAAAGAAAATAATTTAAAGTTTAAACTTTTGAACGGAAAATACAACTTATAACAAACGAAATGTTTTGAAAAGGCCACGTAAAGGGCCAAAACCCTTAGATCACGTGACCTTGTTATAATAATGGCAATTTCTGTATATTATACATGGAAATAAGGAATGTATTAAGTAAAAAAATACAACATAAAAAATTATTTTTAAAAAAAGTAGCGCAACTAAATTTATTAAACTTAGCAATTTTGGATTCGTAAATTTTTTTTCTACTTAATTACTACATAATATCGAGGAACCCTCCTAATACAGAGCTTTACACGATTTAAAACTATTATAAAATATAAATTATTAATTATTATAATTAAAATTTCTTAAACGAAAAAATTCTTGTAAAAATTAATTATTCATCAGAAAAAAATTTATTTCTTCAGACAATAATGTCCTTAATATTACTTATTTACAAAAGCAATTAAAAGCTTTTCTAATTAAATTAAGTAATATCATAGTTTTATTGGATTCATTATTTTTCAATTCAGAGCAGATTTTCAGAAATAGCTCAAATTTGAAAAAAAAAAAAAAAAGTAGGTTATTTACCATCTTCGAAGACTCCTACTTTTAACAAAAAAAAAAAAATTCAGGAACCAAAAAAGGTTTTTGGGAAATTTCATTAAATTAAGTAAATGTGGGTAACATATTTTAAAAAATATAATTTTACCAAAATTTTCTATAAAAAAATATTTAAAAAATAATTTCATTGATTTGTGAATAAGTCCTGAAAATTTCATTAAGATTGGACAATTATTTTATTTTTACAAAAATTTCCAAATCAATATGTTTTCAACGGTAAAAAACGCAAAAAAAACTTATTTTAAACGTCGCCACGATGACGTAAACAAAGACGACTTTAACCAAAATTTCGAATGTGTTAGAAAATATTAAAAATTTCAAAAAAAATAATTAAAAATACTTTTTTCTTTCATCTAAATAATAACATAAGCATTTTGACGATAATACTTTATTTTCTTTAAGTTTGTGGCATTTTTCATTTACGCTATGCTGTTTTTCCGCGAAAACAGTGGACATGCTTAGTTTAAAAAAAAAAAAAAAAAGGATGCTCTCGGTAATTTTTGGAGACTCTTTCACTATCAATGCCAGACATTATTTGTTTCTGTGGAGAGATTAAAAACACATCGGTAAATTTTCATTTTAACACCCGAGCGTCATTCACTGCTGAACTATTTTCTTTCAGAAATTGGTACGTGCTTCTGTAAAGCGATTTTTTTTTTTTTTTTTTTTTTTTTTTTGTACTTAAGTTAACTTTCAAATATATGTAAACATCGACAAATAAAAGAATAACAAAAGAACAAAAACAAAAAACACCTAACCCTAACTTGAAAGTTAACTTTCTTCTTAAAAAAATAAAAAAAGCATACCCCCCAAAAAAACAAAAAACACTTAACTCTAATTTGAAAGTTAACGAAAAGGAATTACTTGGAAGGAAGTAAAAAGACCCAAATTGTATACGTCCACCAACAAAATTCAGCACTGAATTACTTAAGCCAGTAATGGCTGACAAAAGACCAGGAAAAAGTCAGTTTTTTTTTTTTTTGTTTTTTTTTTTCGGGTCGTTAACATTCAGAAAGCTAGGTTTCTTCAATATCTAATTGTTGATTTGAGTTCAGCATATACATTTGCATGGAAATTTTGAAAAAATTGAAGGGATATTAGTGCTCGGGTGTTAAAATGAAAATTTACCAACACCTAGTTTTCCTTTGTTTTTCGTTAAACTCCCTTTCGTTCAGTTCAATGTATTTTTAGCCGATGGACGCTGACACGAGAGAAATTTAGACTTTAAAAAAAATCTCTTAAAAATCCAACATCCATTTCAAACTTTAAAGAAATATTAATTAATTTAATTTTGTAAAA